CTCTCACTCGAATACTCGCCGGCGGTCGCAGCCGCACGGCCATAGGACGATCATGCCTCTATCGCGCACCGAGCTCACCCATCGCTTCACCCAGCGTCGCGCCAATCCCCGCCTGGTAGCGCTTCATAGGGCGCTGTCACGGTTGAAATCGACGGTTACCGTGCTTCACACGGGCGCCCATCCCGATGATGAGCAAAACGCCATGCTCGCCTGCATGCGCTTCGGACTCGGCATGCGCACCATCATTGGCTGTTCCACGCGCGGGGAGGGTGGCCAGAACACCCTCGGTCCCGAGCGCGGCGGCGCACTTGGCGTCGTTCGGACCCGCGAACTTGAAGAATCAGCAAAGGTGATCGATGCAGATATCGTCTGGTTCGGTTTCGGCCCCAACGATCCTGTCCATGATTTCGGGTTCTCGAAAAACGGTCACGATACCCTCGAACGCTGGCAGCACGATCTGATCGTCGAGCGTATGGTAGAGGCTTATCGAAGCGAAAAGCCCGATATTGTCATTCCCACTTTTCTCGACGTGCCAGGTCAGCACGGGCACCACCGCGCCATGACCATGGCCGCCGAACAGGCGATTGCACTGGCTGCGGATCCCGACGCCTATCCCGAGCATTTCGCGCGCGGCCTGGCTCCCTGGCAGGTCACCAAATATTATCTGCCCGCCTGGTCGGGTGGCGGATCGACCTACGATGACGAGGTGCCACCACCTGCCGAAACGGTAAGGTTTATCGCGACCGACCCCGATTTTGCATCCGGTGTGACTTTTGACGAGATCGGGGAATGGTCGCGGCTCTACCATGCCAGCCAGGGCATGGGGCGCTGGCCCGAAAATCCGAAGGCCGAATGGCCCCTGCATCTTAGGGCCGGGCCAGATGATAACGGCAGTATCACCGATAATCTTCCCGGCTGCCTGGCTGACATAATCCCGGGGCTGGCGGCCGCCGACACGGCCATTGCCACCGCGATCGCCGCTTTCCCCAAAGCCGGAGAGATCATCGCCCCCTTGGCGGTGGCCCTTGAGGTCATCGAGACCAACGCCGAGACCGTCCCGGCACAACACATCCATCGCATCGAGACCATGATCGCCGATCTCGAAGCCGCCATGCTCGTTGCAACCGGCATCGATTGTGTCGCAGCGCTCGACCGGCCGGTCGTTGCGCAGGGCCAGACGATCGATCTCAGCCTGACGCTTCGCGGTGCGCCCGAGGATGTTTCCGTCGACCTGATCCTCCCCGACGGTGTGTCGGTCATCGCTCAGCGGCCGGGCCGATACACGCTGGAGGTCGCGCCTGACGCGCCGATCACCGAGCCCTTTACCCAGTCCTTTGCTGCATCTGGCGCCAATGGAGACGCGTGTATCGTCCTGACCCTGACTATCGCTGGACGCACGATCTCGAGCGCCGTTGGCCTGGAACGGCCGTTGACCATCGTGCCCGCCGCCTCGGTCAGCCTGGCGCCCAGCGCCGTCCTGGTGCCCGCTGACGCCGAATTTTCCGGTTGCTCTGTGGAAGTCAAAATCGAAGGCGGTGCCGGCGATCTGAGCCTTTCCAGCCCCCAAGCCATCGAAGTTGCACCGAACAGGGACGGCGTCACGCTCTCGGGCCGTGGCTTGGCCGAAGGGCGCCATGGCCTCGACGTGCTTGTCGACGATACGCCAGCCTTCACCGTCCAGCCCATCGACTACGCCCATATCGGCAAAAGCCTCTATGTAACCCCCGCACGGCTCGATATTCTTGCGCTCAACCTCGCCCTCCCCACCGACCGGCGCGTCGCCTATGTCGGTGGCGGTGCCGACAATGTCGGCGTCTGGCTGGCGAGGATGGGGTTTGAGGTGACCGAACTCGACGCGCGGGCGCTTTCGGAAGACCTCTCTGGGTTTCCCACGATTGTCGTCGGCATTTTCGCCTTCGGGCTGAGGCCCGACCTAGCCGCCAGCACCGAAGCGCTGCATGCCTATGTCGAGGCGGGAGGCAATCTTGTCACCCTCTACCATCGCCCATGGGATGGCTGGGACCCTGACAGCGTTCCCCCGCGCTTTCTCAAGATCGGTCAGCCCTCATTGCGCTGGCGGGTGACCAACCCCGAGGCGCCGGTCGAGATCCTCGCCACCGACAATCCGGTCCTTGCCGGCCCCAACCCCATTTCGGCTCGCGACTTCGAAGGCTGGAACAAGGAACGCGGCCTCTATTTCGCTGCCGAATGGGACAAAGCCTACACCCCGCTTCTCGCGATGAGCGACAAGGGCGAAGACCCACTCAAAGGCTCGCTCCTGACGGCTGAAATCGGCAGGGGGCGTCACACCCACACGAGCCTTGTGCTCCACCACCAGCTCGATAACCTGGTGCCCGGCGCATTCCGCATCCTGGCAAACCTCGTGGCGGGTGGTCGCATGTAGATGGCCGACCTGGCGCCCTCCTATCGCAGCGGCATTGCCTGGCTCTTGGCCGACATGACGCTGATTACGGTCATGACCGTTCTGGTCAAGTTCGAGGGCGCCACCTATCCCGCTATCCAACTCGTTTTCATCCGTTCGCTGATCGGGTTGGTCTCCATCCTGCCGCTGGCGTGGCGCAAACGCCGCGCTGTCATCGGTACCAGACAGCCCTTGCGGCACCTGGTGCGGGTCGGGTGCAACACGCTGGCTCTGACCTGCAATTTTACAGCATTGGCGGCCCTGCCGCTGGCGCTGGTCAACGCGATCGGCTTTATGCGGCCGCTGGTCGTCATGATGTTCGCCGCCTGGCTGCTCGCCGAAAAGATCGCACCGGTGCGTTGGATCGGCACCGCCATCGGCTTTGCCGGC